AGCTTCTAAGTTGCAGACTATGTACCGGCTATCTCAAACTCTAAAATTACAGACTCAATCAAATTAAAACAGAGTTATTACACTACAAAACAAGTCTTCAATACTCTAAGTCTTTGAGTTCTTGAATCATCATCAAAATCATCAATCTTCATGTTCATTAAGTGCAACATCAAGTCCTTGAATGTTCAACAGTTTCCAGTGTTTGGTTTCAAGAGCTTGGACAGTAGTTGTTGGTTCAGATGTAGCCAAAAGTACTTTAGGCTTAAAAATGCCAGCTTTAGCTCTAGTGGTCATAGGGTGACAATTTTGTGCAGCAGAAGCTGATTGTGGTTGAGTGTGAGATTCAAATTGTAATTGAGTTAAGGTGTGTGTGTTAGTTAACGAAGAATTTAAGGAGATGATAGGTGTAAGCTGACCAGCAGATTGTGTATTACAATTAGTAGGGATTTGGGCCGGTTGGAGGTTAGGTGAAGTAGGTAGTTGGGATGGAAAAATAGGTATTGTTAACACACCTTGGATTAAAGAAGTTTTTGACTTACCTACAATGTGGTTAGTACTAGAAACAAAAGTACCAGGGAATGTGACTTCATCAAAAATCACATTCCTGGATATAATGATTTTTTCATTGTTTGTAAGACATTTATACCCTTTATGTTGCAAACTACATCCAATAAAATGCATTGAGAGGATCGAAAATCCATTTTGTGAGTGTTAAAAGGCCTTAAATGAGGATAGCAAGCACAACCAAGTGGTTTTAGCAAGAGATAATTGGGCAGCTTCTTAAAAAGAATTTCATATGGAGATTTCAATTTAAGGGTAGATGTTGAAAGTCTATTTATGACATGAATAGCAGTACTAAAAGCATCTGTCCAAAACAAATGAGGGAGACCGACTGAGGATAGAAGAATTAGACCAACTTCAGTTATGTGTCTATGTTTTCTTTCAGCTATCCCATTTTGTTGGTGAGTGTGAGGACAACTAATTCTATGGATTATGCCATTTTCATTAAACATTTTTGTAATACATGTGAATTCTTTTCCCCCATCAGATTGAAACATCTTGATTCTTCTTCTAAATTGATTTTCAACCATAGTTTTAAAATGTCTAAAGTGATGTGCAGTTTCAAACTTATTTTGCAATAAAGAGATCCACGTGAACTTTGAATATGCATCAGTAAAGTGAACATAATATCGAAACCCTTCTCTAGAAACATAGTGAGAAGGTCCCCAAACATCACTGTAAATGAGATCAAGGGGAGCATGATATATAGTAGTAGAATCAGGAAAGGGAAGAGCATGAGATTTTCTAATACAACAGGATTTGCAAACAGAGGAACTTTTATTACTATTAGTAGGCATAGAAATATTACATGATTTCATAACAACTTTTGCAATTTTTCTAGAGGCATGAGCTAGTCTATTATGCCATATATCATAAGATTTTTCAAATCTTTGAACAATCAGAACAGTAGGAGTAGTAGAAACATGAGTAGTAGGATTCACACAAGTATCAGGTTGCAGAAAATTGACTTCATCAAAAACATACAAGCCATTTTTAAGAGTCCCTTGTAGAAGAGTTTCCTTCGAATCCTGATACTTAACAAGACAATGTGAAAGTGATGAAGATCTTATTAAATCATTTGATAAAAAAAGATCTTGTTGATTTGATGAAGTTAAAGGTTAATCTGAAGAAGTCAAAGGTTACTTGGGTTAAAAGGGTAGAGTGATTAGTGAGTCTGCATCTATACATAGGTATAATCATTCATATCTCTCTGCTGCATGAATTTTCATCATTTGAAAGAATTAAAAAAAAAAATCTTCTAAAGATGTTTTTAATCCGTTAAAAACCAAAGCAATCAATTAAACTATTTTAAGAAATTGTTTTAACTGATATTATATGAGTTTTATCAATTAAAATATTCTTAAAACTTACATGACAAATTTTTTACTGATAGGTTTTCGAAATAATCGATTAAGACCATTTAAAGTATTCACTAGAACTATTTTAATCGATACACTTTCGAATTTATCGATTATTTTCATTAAAGGAGTTTTTAAAAACCTTCTGCCAGTGTTTTAACTGATATATATTTGAAATAATCGATTAAAATCACTTAAGATGTCTTGAAAAATGTTCTGCCAGTATTTTAATCGATTAAACTTCGAAATAATCGATTAAAACCACTTGAAAAGCTTTTTGATCGATGAAATCTCATATATGACCGATCAGAATAAGTTTTAATTGATGTAACCTCAAAAATGATCGATCAGAATAATTTTAATTGATGTAAAATCGAATTAATCGATTAAAACAACATAATGAACTTTTTGCTAACTATTTTAATCGATTAAAACTTGTTGTTATCAGTTAAAATTACTTAGAAAGTTTTGTAAAAAATTTTGGCAGAATATTAATCGATTAAATTGTGAATTAATCGATTAAAGAAACTTAAGGGACTTTTTGTTAATTGTTTTAATCGATTAAAACGATGTCGCATCAGTTAAAATAAATTTGGAAAATAATCAAGAACATTTTAACAGATTAAAAGAAGTTTTAACCGATTAATCAAATACTTTTAATAGATTAAAAGAACGGTTTAACAAATTAATTAAACTAGAAGTTGAAAAACTTTATATATAAACAGACTTGATTCAACATTTTAAAATATACTTTTGAGCAAGCAATCAAACGTCCATAAGAGCTACTTTCAAGAAAGAATCACGCAAGTTTTGTGGAGTTTTTTAAAGTTCTTTCTTGAGGCAATTTTTGCATTCTTTTGGTGAAGAAACTCATTCTGCAGAAGCTGCATAATCCGGGTTTGATTGTTCTAGTTTCTTCTCTTTGTTTCTTTACATTTCTTTACTATATTGTGGGTGTCTGAAATTGTTGGGCACTGGTTCTGTAACTAGAATTTGGTTGCAGGTTGGTACAAGAACTGGAACTTGGTTCTTGGGTAGTGTGTGTCTGGAATTTTTGGTGTCACCACCGTCAAAATAGGCGGTCGGAGCGACGCGATGGTTCCAACTTTCATTTTCGTGTTTTAGAAGGGTGACGTTACAACGCCTTTAGGTTGTCCGATAACCAGGCTGGACCTAAAAGCAAGGTTTTCGAAAGTGAGCTTTTAGGTTGTCCGATAACCGGGTATGACCTAAAAGCAAGGTTTTCGAAGAGGGTTCTTATGGAGTCGCCACTAATGTTTTTACCAAAAACATCGGAAAAGGAAAAAAGAAGGCGTTGGTTTTTAAGAAAACCAACTTTGGCCATTATAACCAAAGTTGGGTAAGGGAGTTAGTTATGTGTATGGAAGGTATTAGCTTCCCTACGACGCACCTTTCGGATTCCCTATGATAGGCCAGTTATTTCATAAATAAACTTTAAAATGACGCTTTTACCCTTTTATTTGCGGAATTAAAAAAATAACGACTACATGGCCCTAACAGCTAATACATATATGAATATAAATAACAAAGTGATAAAAGAGAGGGAGAAAGTGAAGAAACCTCCGAAGCAAGCTTTCTTGATTAATTCTCTTAAAATAGGATGCTTTTTGGCAGTCCTTCGCTCTACAACGTCGATATCTCTCTCTCGCAACGCTATAAAAACTCTCTAAGGACACTCAGAAAACTCCGAAAATGCTTCGGAGGGGCTCTAGGAGAAGAATTTTAAGAAATGATAGAAGGAAAGGTTGAAGAACTGTGTGAAATGAAGGGGAGATTGCCCCCTTTTTATAGGGATTCGCGCCTGTCAGGTCGAGACCGCCGTCTCGCCAATCGGGACGGCGGTCTCGCCTTTGGCAAATGGTGAGACGACTGTATCGCTAATTGGGATGGCGGTATCAATTTGACAAATGGCGAGAAGGCCGTCTCGCTAAACGGGAAGGCGGTCTCGCCAAAGCAAGTGGCGAGACGGCCGCCTCACCAAACGAGACGGCGGTCTCGACCTTGCTAATGGCGAGACGGCGGTCTCAACCCTTCAGGTGAAAATCCTTATTTTTTTGTACAAAAAGTCTTCCTACTCTAATATGGGGCCTAATAGCCTATACTAAGGACCTTTTAGGACTCGTCCATCTTCGAATTGGAGGTCTTTTGCTCTTTATTTTGAGGTCGGGCAAGATTTGGGGTCTACAGATAGACTAATAGGCCCCATATTAGAGTAGGAAGGTTTTTTGTACAGAAAAAATAAAGAATTCCACCTGAAAGGTCGAGACCGTCATCTCGCCATCAGCAAAGGGCGAGACCTCCATCTCGTTTGGAGAGACAGTCGTCTCGCCATTTGTCAAAGGCGAGATCGTTGTCCCGTTTGGCGAGACGGCCGTCTCGACCTGCTTGACCTGACAGGCGCGAATCCCTATAAAAGTAGGGCGCTCTCCCCTTCATTTCACACAGTTCTTCAACTTTTCCTTCTACCATTTCTTCAAATTCTTCTCCTAAATCCCTCCAAAGCATTTTCAGAGTTTTCTTAGTGTTCTTAGAGAGTATTTTATAGCGTTGCGAGAAAGAGCGATCGACGTTATAGAGTGAAGGACTGCCAAAAAGCATCCTATTCCAAGAATATTAATCAAGAAAGTTTGCTTCGAAGGTTTCCACACTTTCTCCCTCTCTTTTACCGCTTTCTATTTACATTTATACGTGTATTAGTTGTTAGGGCCATGTAGTCACTATTTTCTTAACTCCGCAAATAATAGGGTAAAAGAGTCATTTTAAAGTTTATTTATGAAATAAACGGCTCATCATAGGGAACCCGAAAGGGGCATCATGGGGGTGTTAATACCTTCCCCACACGTAACTAACTCCTTTACCCGACTCTGGTTATAATGACCAAAGTTGGTTCTTTAAACCAATGCCTTCTTTTTTCCTTTTCCGATGTTTTCGGTAAAAACATCGGTGGCGACTCCATAAGAACCCTTTTCGAAAACCTCGCCTCTAGGTCCAGCCCAGTTATCGGACAACCTAAAGTCATTGTAACGTCACATTTAAAAACGTGAAGTGGAAGTCGAAATACCATCGCGTTGCTTCGACTGCCTCTTTTGACGACGACGACAGATGACGACTCCACTGGGGAAGCCTAGAGAGTTGATCCTATTTAGTGATGGGCTAGTTTAATAAATAAACTTAAAAATTTCACTTTTACCCTACCTTGCTTTATAACATGTTTATTTGCTTGGCTTTAATAACTGTTGTTTGTTTATTTTATGCAATTGTTTGAAATACAAACTATACACAAACCTTTGCACACAATAGTTCCTTCTATACTCGGGGACAAGTGAGAATCCATAGGGAGTGGGTGGCAGGTGCGGTTTGCCGTAGTGAGGGCCATAAGCCCACCGGTATGATCGGAAACCACCACTTAAGGTGATAACCTTCCACTTTTGGCACAAAGACTGACTACGACCTTAGTGCTAAGCATGGTCGGAAGGCTGGAGAGTGGGGACCCTATAATGGGGGCACCTTGGGGGCCTGGCCTTGGTGAGAACAGTTAGAACCTACCTTTACCAATGCACTTTTCTGCAGGAAAACCCTACCTCGTAATTTAAACATCATCTTACGTGTTCGCGGATTAGTGAATTGTGTGTGCATTTTTTTGTTGCATTTGATTACATAGCATAACCAAACAACAGATAAAAATAGAAAAACCACAAAAATATTTTCACAATAAACACCCTTATCTCGAACAGTCTGCCTTTTAGCTAGCCTGGTTTCAGGTTCTTTGTAAGCTAAGTAGTCACGCAGTCTGACAGAAGAGATAAGGGACGTTAAAATTGTTCTTTCGCAATAAACCATTTTATCTCGGACAATCTGCCTTTTAGCTAGCCTGGTTTCAGGTTCCTTGTAAGCTAAGTAGTCACGCAGTCCGACAAAAGAGATAAAAGGTTGTAAAACAAAAATAAAATAAATCCAATAAATGAAAAATGTTAAAAATCATAAAACGGTTTATGACAAAGTCAAATCATTCATGTCACATTATGTCATGAGCAAAAAAAAAACAAGAGAGAAAATAAAAGGAAAGTACCATCAACATCATCCTAAAAATCTCTCATGCATAAAACACGTTCATACTAGAGGGCATTAGATATCTCTAAGACAAAGATGAAAAAGGTAGCCAAGCACATTTGTAATCATCCACATGGAAGGGACAAATGTACTAAGGTATATGGTGATCTTCGTCATACTTGTCAAAAACCATGACAAGGAAGGAACCATTACACCAAAGTGGGTAAGGTACCCCGCAGAGCGTAAGCTTAAAGGATGATACCTAAGTCATTGTCTTAAAAGATACTAATCCCACACCTATCATTCATTTTATTAATAAAAATTTTGAGCATCCTAGAAAGTGGTTGGTCCTCTTCCTATCCGAACTCGTGCACAAAAAGCAAAGGCCATGGAGAATTTGGAAGAACAAAATCGCAAACTCACTGCTGAGGTGAACTCCTTAAGAGAGAAAATGACGCAAATGATGGAGTTAATACGCCAACAGAGCCAAAACAAAGGGGAGACTCAAGGCGATCGCGCCTCTTGCCACGAGGCAGAGGAAGAAGAGGAGTTCCTTGTAAGAATTAATGGTTGAGTTCAAGAGGAGGGGGGTGAATTGAACTTTGAAACCTTTTTCTAAAAACACTTTCTTTGTGGAAGAATGATTAATCTTTATCCAATCTTT